GCCGAAATACATTATGTACAATGAAGTACAGAGTATGCATTAAGGTGGTTGGGGAATAGAAGGGAAGGGGAAATACGACCAGTGACCCATGACACATGGAGGTTAGAGTATGTGGCATTGAATATGACAATAGTGAGGGGAATGAAGAATGAAAGAGAGAACACAGTGAATGGAGCATGAGGTATAGAGGGTAGAGTGTGCAGAAATCCATGTGGCGTGTGGGCAGAGAGAGGAGAATGGGGTGAGCCCGTGGTTAACGGAGCACGACGCATTGGCAAACACAAGTGTACAGAAGTATGGGGGCAGAGCATACAGCGAGGCACTGGAATTGGTGAATGCAGCAAGATGTAGACAGCGTACAATGTCAGAATGAGTTTGGAAACAGGGTGAACAGAGGAGATAAATGGAATTGAGGGGAGAACATAGCGAATGCAGCATGCTATATGGAGAATAAGGAATGTAGAAAGTACTGAGACAGACTGCATGGTGGTTAATGAAGAACAGAGGGAAAACATGGTAAAGGAGTGTGAATTGCAGGCATTAGAATATAATATGGACTGTAGAATGAAGAGAATAGAGAACAGAGAGAACATGCTAGAAGAATGATATTATGGAGCATATAGTATGGAGAGTGAAGCATGGAGAATGGGGACTAGAGGGTAGAACATGGCCACAGCATGACAGTGTGGAAACTGGAGTGTGTGGAATCAAGTCCAGGAGTATGGTCTGAGGACATGGCAAAAGTCAGGCAGGAAACAGTGAATCCAAACATGAGCTATGCAGAATAGAGTATGCAGACTGAGACACGGAAAAGGAGTATCAATCTAGGAGAATGGAAAAGAAAGAGAATAATGTTGTGAATGTAGCATGAGATGTAGAGAATACTGAATAAGCTGAAGTATGGAGTATGGAAAACATGGTCAAGGGACCATAAGACACACAGAACAGATCATGTAGGAATGAAGTATGGGAACAGATTATGCAGTCAGGAGTATGGGAAATAGAAGAGAGAATGTGGTAAGTAGAACATAAAGTATAGAGAACAGACTTTATAGAATAAAGCCCTTAAAATGCAAACAGAGGACAGAGTTGGAGGGTTGGTGAATGGAAGGGATTGCGCGATCCAAATGGAAGGCAAGTTATAGAGAATAGGCTATGTATAATAAAGTATAAATGTAGGGGTGTGTGCTGACTTAGGAGAGTGGAGAAGGTAATGTGAGCTGGAAAGGAGCATGAAGGACGGAGACTAGACTGTGTAGTGTGCAGTGAGGAGTACAGAGTGAAGAGAATGGAGGATGGGATGGAGAACACTGTGGATGGAGTGTGTAGGGTGAAGGTTAGAGTACATAGTGTGTATGGAGTGTGAAAGGCAGAAGATAAGGAGGAAATATAGGGAATGGACAATGAGGTAGGGAGATTGGTGTATATGGAAGAGAACGTATGGGAACAGTGAGAACAGGAGAGATGGAGGGGAGAATTAGGTGACAGATTGTGAGCTGTGGAGAAGAGAGTATGTACAATAAAGTAGGAAGTAAGTATGGAGTGAAGAGACTGGAGAATGGAGTGGGAATAGTTGCATATTGAACATGAACCATGGAGAATACATATGTAAAATGACGTACGGCATATGAAAACAAAGTATGGAATGAGGGAGTAGAGAGCAGAAGTGAGACCTTGGTGAATTGAACATGAGACATGGAGAAGAGTATGTCTGATTTTCCATGCGTCACTGTGCATAGTCTATATCCATTCTCATGTTCATTTCTGTCCTTCATTCTCCTCATTCCACCCTCTGACCTAACGCTCTGTTCTTCATTCCGCATATTCTAGTCTCCATTCCCCATGCTCCTCTAGTCTCCATTCTCCATGCTCCTCTAGTCTCCATTCCCCATGCTCCTCTAGTCTCCATTCCCCATGCTCCTCTAGTCTCCATTCCCCATGCTCCTCTAGTCTCCATTCCCCATGCTCCTCTAGTCTCCATTCCCCATGCTCCTCTAGTCTCCATCCCCCATGCTCCTCTAGTCTCCATCCCCCATGCTCCTCTAGTCTCCATTCCCCATGCTCCTCTAGTCTCCATCCCCCATGCTCCTCTAGTCTCCATACTCCATGCTCCCTTCACCATGCGATCCTCTCTGTTTTCCATTCTCCTTACTCCTTACTCTGCTACACTCGTGTGTCATTCTGCATTCTCGAATTCCCATATGTCATATTCTATTCACCACAGTCCCTTATGTGTTCTACATGGCCTTAACTCATACCCCACACTACCTTCAACAAGCTCTGTTCTCCATAATACACTGAATTCAACATATTCTCACATCAGTTTTCCATTCTCTTCCCTGTAGGCTGACGTAGAATGAGTTACAAGAGCAGAACATGGCATGGGGAGAATGGAAAATAGAAAGGATGAAATGAATGCAGTGTGGGTTACGGAGAACAGAGTATAGAATGAAGTACAGTTTGAGGAAAATGGAGAGTTGAGGGGAAACCTGGAGAAAGCAGAATGAGGCACAGGATATGTAGAATGAAGCATGGGATGATGTGTGGAGTTATGTGAATAAATGATGAAGGGGAGGACATTGTGAATAGAGCACGAGGCATGGGGTGTGGAGTTTGTATAATGAAGCATGGGAAGCTGAATGTGGGGATAATGGAAGGGAGACTACGATGGTGAAGGAGCATGAGCTATGGAGAATAGAGTCTACGGAACGAAGTATGGAGTGAGGATGGAAAGGGGCGAGAATGGAGGAGAGGAAAGATGAAATGATGGTGAAATGTGGAAGTAGGTCTTCTGTGTAGCATATGGAGTTATAGAGAGTATAGAATTGTTTCAAGCAGAGAATGAATTAAGGAGGGACTGGAGAACACATCATAGCATATGGACAGGGGTCTGGAGAATGAAGTGTGAGTTTTGTGGAATGGTGTGTGCAGCTTGTGAAGTACAGCTTCAGAAATAGAAAGTGGCATGTGAAGTGTGATGTGTGAAAGACAGAGTATGGAAAATAAGTTCTATGCAGCATGAGGAATGTAAGAGTATAGTAAAATACAGCAGATATGGAGAAAGTGAAAGGTGTTTTATGAAGTGTGGTATTTAAAGAATGGAGTAGAAATGGCATAGTATACAGTGGATGTGGAAAATGGCATTCTCTACATTAGGTGTGGAGAATGGCAGGGTGTACATTGGGAGTGGACGATAGCATTTGGAGCATGGACTTTGGAAACTGAGATAATGATGAAATGTATGGTGAATGGAGAATGGTGTATGGACAATAGATATAAGTATATTGGTAACTGACCATGGAGAATGAAGCAGGGTGTATAAATATAGAGAGTAGAATATCTGTATGGAGAATGGAATGTGTACACCGAAAAGATTACAGTGAGTGGATTATGATGTATAGGGAATGGAAAAGAGTGTATAGAATTTTGTGCGGTGTATAGAGCTGAGAATAGACTATGTACAGTAGAGAATGGAGACTGGTGTGTAAGGAAAGTAGAGTGGAGAATTGAGAGTAGGCTGTGGAATATTTCATATTCCATATGGGGTGTGGAGAACATGGGCTATGGCAAATGAAGTTAGACTATGCGGAATGGTGAATGGGGTAGGAGAAACCAGAAAAGATTGTGGAGAATAAAGTAAGCATAATGACACAAAGTTGCCCTCTGGCCTTCACATGTGTTCTGTGGCATGCACATCTATGCACATATGCATATACATACAATAAGAATAAATTAATACAATTTTAAACACAAATAAATGGATGTAGAGAAAATTGTGTGGGTAATGAGGAAAGAAATATGGAATTCAGAATACATATGCAGAACATAGAAAAATGTAATATAAAACACAGTATAGGAAATTTTGTGCAGAGGAGAATGGAGATGGGAGAAAGATTACAGAAATGGAGAAGTGAGGGACAGGAGAAATGGCTCAGAGATTAAGAACACGACTATTCTTCCAGAGGTCCTGAGATCAATTCCCAGTAACCACATGGTGGCTCACAACCATCTGTAATGAGATCTGGTGTGAAAACATACTGCAGGCAGAACATTGTATACATAATAAATAAATCTTTTAAAAAAGAAATGGAGAAGAGAGAAGGAATGAGATATAAAATATGAAGATATGAATGGAAATGTGATATGTATGAAGAATAAAGTATGGAGTACAGGGAATGGACAATGATGTGTTGAAGCATGCAAACGCATGAAGGATGCAGTATTGAAATGAGGTGTTGATACAGTGACTGGAGGAAGGAGGATGGGTAGTGAATAATGAGTGTGAAAATTGAGAGAATTCAGAATGGAGTATGGTATATGGAGTATGGAATACAGAAGATGAAGAATGGAACATGAGATATGAATGGAGGAGAATGAAGATTCAAAAATGGAACTTAGAATACAGGGTGGAGGATAGAGTGTGAATAATGGAGACTGGTAACTAGAATAAAGACTATGGAAAATGGAGACCAGAGATGAAAAGTAGAACATGAAATATTGGATGTGATGTATGGTGTATGAAGAGCAGAGAAGGAAAAACAGAATGAAGAGGGTGGGGTGTGGAGGCTAGAAAAGGAATACCAATAATAGAGAATGGAAAATCTGTGTGGGTCTAGAATTTGGTCAGTAGCATGTAGACCATAGCACATGGTGGATGATGACACATGGGGAGTGGAGAATGGGAAATGAGAGGTGGAGGATTCGGGAAAGAGAGGATGGAAATGGATCTGGAGAACTGAAGCAGAGAAGGCAGAAGAATGGTGGAGGAAAATGGAGAGTGGAGGATGGAAATGAAGAGTAAAGGGTGGGTGGAGAGTAAGGGATGGAGTGTGGGAGAATGGAGGGTGAGAAGGGGAGGGTGGGAATGGAGGATGAAGAGGGAGGGTGGAGCATGGAAGATGGGCCCCAGCTTTCCATTGCGAGAGGTTCTTTGGGGACACACAGCATTCAGAGGTCTTCAGCAGAGGAGCTTACTGCGTGGTGCAGTGGGGAATACTCACCAGTACTTCCAGGCGCTGGTCAAGGCACCTTGCTCGTTCTTCTGGGTGCATCCTGAGTGTTCTTTCATGCCGTTCCTGGTCATTGAGGCTGATCACCACTGCATGCCACACTTGACTCCTGGATGCCTAACCTCCTGTAGATAGTAAGCAAAGGAAGGCCTCAGTTTCCCCACTCTTCCTGGAAAGATAGGTATGACACCTCTCAGGGGTGTTGGGTATCTCAGGAGAGCCCCAGGAGAGGGTTGTAAAAGTCTGGGGACCCAAAGAACAGCAGATTTTTGGAGGTTGGGAAGCCCCCAGGTCCTGGTGCCAGTCTCTCTGCCAGCACCTCACTCTGGAGGCCTTGACTAAAAACACAGGGGCATGGAGCTTCAGGGTTGTGCTTTTGCACAGCAGAGCCCCCAGGGAGGCCTGGGGACGATGCACTGCCTTGGTGGCATCCCTTGGGCACCCAAGTGGCCAGGTGCTCTGTGCCTTACTCATTTCACAATAGCCTCAATAGGGCCTTGATTGGGGTTTAAAAGCCTCTGGCTCTTCTGCCCTGATGCAGCCAACTTCATGGCTCACCTCCCCCACCTGGGGCCTCTTCCTTCCCGGGCCTCTCCCTCACCCGTGCATCCTTATTTCTAACTCCAAGTGCCTCTGGGTGTTTCTACAAACCAAACCCTGTCAGAGAGGACAAAGATTTGTCTACTTAAAAAGTTTAAGAAGTATCTGAAGTGTTGCAGTTAGCAAATAGCAAACAGGACAGGACAACCCTCACCAGGCCCTCCCCCAACCTTTCCCAACCCAGAGACCCTCCCTGCACCCCCACATACAGCCCACCAGCACATGGCCTGGCCCCAGCCCCGACCTTAAGGAGTTAAGTAGACAAAAAGACCCTTGGAGGACTTGTTCACGCCCACCCTACCCGAACTGCCTGCTGGGACCAGGCAGCAGGCTGGGAGGAGGATTAAGTGATAGACACAGGCAGGTGGCTGCACACAGGCTCCTATCCTCACACAGCTCCAGTGAGGGGCTACAAGCCCCCCTCCAGCTGCCCTTGCTGGAGTTAGCCAGTAAGGAGGCTCCTGGGGACCCTGGCTCCAAGGCAAAGATGAAGGCGCCTATACCCACCAGGAAGCAAAAGCTAAAGAACAAACTGGATAAAGCCACATTTTGGGCTTTTTCACACATGAAGGTCCTCTTCTTGTCCATGGGCCTCATATCCGGCAGCCTATCCATAGAATCTTTCTGTCCCCCATATGCTCCATTGAGGCTTGGCACCCTGGTCTTGGGCCTTTCCTTTTCCTCTAGTTCCCTGGGGCTTCTCTGCTACCTTCAGACTCCACCAACCCTTCTCTACACAGGAGAGATGGAAACAGAAAGAAAGATAAAGGCCTGGGCTGTCTCAAAAAGACCCAAGTGAGAGATGGGGGATTCCAGAGGAACCATGTCTAGACGACCCCTCTTCAGTTCCTGCCTCTGCCCTGTCTTCCAGAGATGTTTCGCTGAGTTCTGTGCTACGCTAAGATTACAGAATCTTCCCCTTATGTGGCTGAGCACATAAGGGGAAACTGAGGCTTGAGAGAGGGAGGGCATATGAAAGAGCTGGGTGTAGCACTTGACCCAGCGGTGGCCACTAGGGTCCTTTAATAACCTCAGTTTCTCCCTGACACAATTACCCTACAGAGAAATGCTGACACAAAGGGCAAGCGTGGACTTTCCTAGACAAGCTGGACCTGACTGGCCTCTCAGTTCCCTCCAACTGACCTCCCTGCTTCTGATCTGACTGGACAAATGTCTATGGCTCCCTATAAAGGAGCCCTCCCTCCCCGCGCAATAACCCCAAATCTGAGGAGCTTTCTGCTGACCTTTCCGCTCAGCCTTGTTGGGACACAGGCAGTTGAGTTCACTGTCACCCTGTATGCCTTATCCTTCATGATTTCCCCACCATACCCTCCACCCAGAATCTAAACTGGAAGAAATAAGAAGCCAGCTGTCCTCCAACCCAGTGTGCTGACAGCCTCTTGGGAGGCTCCTTGGGACTGTCACCTCAGCCTAGAAGGGGCATCAGCTTGGGGACATGTGGAAGGACATATAAAGATCAGGGACATATCCAGCAATGGTAGTGATCAGTCCAGGAAAGGCCAGGCTAGGGAGTATGCTTCAAAACTCTTCTTGGAGGAACAAGGAGAGCTATTTGGGAACAACTTTCCCAAATGGCTCCTGCCTGCTTTGCTTTCTCTCAGACATCTCCTATGGCTCTCCACCCTCTGTTCCTTGCATCCACCAGCCCTCACCAAAGAGTAGCTCCCTAGCTGACCTTGGACAAACTCCCTCAACTGCTCTCAAGACCCCCCCCCAACAAAGATAGTTCCCGTTGACCTGGGAGTTGCACCCCCCCCCCACTCTGCTCCTGCCTAAAGCTGGGCCTCCCTTCCCCCACCCTCCCCAGAAATTCTCTCCTTGGAATCCAGCCAGCCTTCCTGTCCCCACCCCATTCGTCCCTCCCTCTGCTATCAGGTATCTTACCACCCAGCTCTCTGTCCAGAGCCCCTATCCAGAGCCTAGGTGCAGCTCTATCTCCTCCCATCCTCTCTCAGGCCACGCCCCCTCTCAGGCTGTCCCTGAGCTGCGGCTTCCTTTGCAGCCCTACACCTAAGGTCATTAGAGTTCCAGTTACCTTCTCTCCCTCGCTGCGCCCATTGCCAGGCCTGCAGCTCTGCAACTGCACAGAGAGGCTGGGCCTGCCTGTCTGAGACTTGAGGTGGGGGGTTGGTCACTTCGTAAGCCTAGGGTAGGCAGAACAGCGTCCTCTTCCACCGCCTGGCCCCTGAGAAGCAGGAAGGGGAAAGACGGGGGGGAGGAGGTGGGAGAGAGACCTGGGGGAGACTAAGGGAAGGAAGGGAGAAGGGGAGTGGGCAGAAGGAAGTTAGAGGCCAGAGAAGCAGCAGAGGCAGGATGCCTATCAGGAAGCTACCTAGGAGTGGGGTCTTTGGCAGAGGTGGGGGAACCCTGTTAGGCAGGCTCAGCCCTGGAGGCTCTGACCACAGTCGGACTTCCCCAAACTGGCTAAAATTTTGTTGTCTCTTGCGCCCCCGTGAGGTCAGTGGTCATCATGACATCCATTTGGCGACCAAGGTGGGGTTCCTGGGGGGGTGCCGGTGAGAAATGCCCCCAGCCCATGCTCACTGCCCTCAGACATGGGGCTCTTGCTCTCCCTCAGGTCTCCCAGGGGCCCTGGACACATCAGGCCTTTCTGCGTGTATTCAGCTTCCCAGGGTCTCTTCAGAGGATGTGTGGATTACCACCCCTGTCTCCTCTTGTTGTGTCTTACTTGGGGCTCTCATCCTAGCTGGCTGTACCCCTCAAGCCCTGGGCCCATTCCTGCCAGGGTTCCCTAGTCTGACCTGTCGTTGACCTTCCAGCTACTTCAGAGTCCCTGGGCTTCACCAATCCTACCCTCAGAAGTCACATTTGTTAAAGGTATGGGGGTTACAGGGTGCTATACCAAGCATAGTTAAAAGCAGAGACCCCAACAGTAAGACCCTAGTAGAGGGCTGGGTTCTGCCTCTCAGGAAATGACAACCCCTCAGGCAGCAACAGCTCCCAGCATGGCTATCAATCCACCACGGATGGCACGCTGCTAGAGAAAGGAACCCGCAATCTTCTTGACAGCCTGCTGGTCTACTTTCCCCAATCTCCTGGTCTTTAGGGCCTCTGACCTATGAGAAAGACACAACCTTCAGATTCTAAGAGCGTGGGGGATAGCTCTTTCAGGCCCATACCTAGGAAGACACCGTAAAATGCCAGCTAGCGTAACTAGACAGTGAATCGCAGGGGGACAAAGGATGAGGAACCATGTCTGGATGGACACTGTGGGTGCTTGCGCTAGTGAGGAGCGTATCATAGACACTGTGACACCAGAGTTCTCCAGTCCATCGTGAGGGATACAGGGGCTCCTGATGGATGTCGAGGGGACCCTGAAGGTGTAGGAAGCACAAATGAGGCCCTCTATATCCAGATTGGGGTTATCCTGTCCCCTTCTGGGGAGGAAGGTTCCATCACTCTCAAAGGAAAACACTAAATGTCCATCCACTCCCCATTAGGACAAAAAATAAATAAATCAAGTGATGGAGACTGTGGGTTCAAGCGAATGAGCCTCAGGTAGGCTGGGGAGGGCTGGGATCACACCCTGGAGCCTGCTCTGTCCCAGGTAACCTCAATAAAGAGCTGGAATGGGAAGCCACATGCCCTTGTCAGGAAAGAATCTCTGTCCCTCCATGTCCCTCTTCTCCAGGCCAGAGTGCTGATGGCCCCCATGGAAGGATGTTCGTGTTCTCAGATCTGATGGGGCCAGAGCCAGGACAGAGGAAGGGGGCTGTGCAGTCAGCCCAGCTGGGACAGCAAACAAGCCTCTGGGGTCTCCCCTTTCCCTTGCCTGCCCACCACAGGGGTCTGGCTGGGGCCAGGGCTGGGGGAGACTTCCTCGATTTATCTCTGCAGCCGGTGGCCAGCCCCAAGCCTGGAATCTCGGGTCAAGCTAAGGTTTGCCTGCCCTGCTGTGAGCAGCTTGGAGCTGGTCAGAAGGCCCAGGCTGAGCAGGGGGCTGGGATAGAAAGAATTCTGGGAAAGATTGCTTGGGGCCTGTGTTTGGGGACCCAACAAAAGCAGTGGTCATATCTTTCTTGTAGTCAGGGTCTGGTGTGCAGGACTGATGCTGCACAATGTTGTCGTGGCCTAATCTGCAGTGGAAGGCGAGCAGGCTAGGGACATGGTTGCTTTGGCTGCAGTCCTATGCAGAAAGCAAAATGAACAAGGAGGGACATGGGTTGTGCCCACAGCAAAAGAGAAGCCAGAGGGCTTCTAGAACCTTCAGGCTAGGCAAGGGGCAGGGGAAAGGACTTGGATACTTAGAAGATTTTGTTCCACAGTCAGTGATAGGCAGTGACAAAAGTAAGACCCCCCCCCAGGAATGAAATTTTAATCGTGCACTGCCCCAGGAAGAGACAGGTATGCTGACATGGAGGTCACGGGACCTCTGAGGCTCAGGAGTGCTCCTTGTACTACCCTAGCCAGAAAACTAAGGGCCACTTAACAATGTCCATTACTGCTAATCTATGATGATCCTGGGTCTTTGCACAGGATCCCA